CGCCTGACTCCTAATAATCAAAACCAATGATTATAAAAAATGCCGCTCGAACATGGAAAGCATCAAAAATGTTTAATTTAAATTTTTTTAACAATTTATATGAAAGTATTGACGGTGCTTATGAATCTATTGAAGATGAATGCCAATTTTTACACTTCAAAAGTAACTTTTCATTATTGAAACAAGTTTTAACAATGAACGAACAACAAGCATCTAATTATTTAAATAAAAATCCTTGGTATGTTGGATGGAAAAATTGCCATCCACAGGTATTAGACGTAATGAAGAAATATTATGACTCACCTCATTTTTTGCCACTTGATACAGAGATACCACAGACAAATTATATTTTTATTGGGTATGACCAAGGAGCAAACATGCATGTAAGGATTGTTAACACTTTCATTATTTTATGTTGTATTATTTACAACTTGTTTATTGACATTTTTTCCATTCTAGTTGGATTACATTCCTCGACTGATGTGGCAAGGACAACTCGCTGGAAAAAAAATATGGTCAGTTGCTCCAACTCCTGAATGTGATAGTGTCTGCAAACGTTTTAATTTTTCGGTAGATACAGGAGATATAGTATTGCTTGATACTAGAGTCTGGTATCATGCCACACTCATCAAAGATAATACTTTAAGTCTTACTATTACATCAGAGTATGGTTGACAAAAGATATTTTTCAATTTATTAACAATTAATTTTTTTAATTGTTTTACAAGTATACATTCTTATTTTTTACTTCAATTCAGCTTTGTAAATACTTACTTAGTCAATACTATTGTAAAAACTAAGTAAAATGTCCATATTAATTTGATATATTTTATATGAAATAAAAAATATTAATATAATGGTTTTGAAGATGTTTTTATTTAAATAATTATAAGATACATAAAAACTTTAAAATAGGGGTAGCAATAAATTTATCATATTTTAAACATGCAAATATAATTTTAACATGTGATTTCAGTTGTTTGAAAAAGATTTTTCGTAAAAAATTCCACATTAGATGAAAGTTACAATCAAATGAATTTAATCAACTGAGACTAATTATATTATCATTTAATTAAAATTTTATAGAAAACCAAATAGTTTAAATCATTGAATTAGAATTTAAAAATTTTTTTAAAATTATGATCACTAGTGATAAATTTTTCTGAAATTTTACTTGCTAAATTACCTAGATTATCATTATAATAATGAAAATTTAAAACTGTTTGGATAATATTTCGAGTTAAAAAAAAATAACAATAGTAATTAATTCAAAATAAAACCAAATTTGAGTTTTCATACAGCTTTATTATTTAAATAAAAGAAATCATTATTATATATAGTTTAACTAGCATAACGTAGTAATATTTTATGATTTGGTTATAACAATATCAATGAACTTTTTTAGCATAAAACTTTTGGAATGTTTATAAGTTGCCATCTAAATTTTATAATTTTAAAACACATCAAATACAATAAACTGTTTTTTTTTTTAAATTAAATATAAATATTTGTAACTTGGTGTTAAAAGCAAATATATTATTCCTACATAAAATTGTGAAGAATATTGGTGAATAATTTAAATCAAACGCATAGCTAATACGGTTTGTATGATCCTTGAGGAGAATAGGGTGGTGGATTCTGAGGGTAATTGTTACAATAGCCTGCAGATTGTGCATAATTAGGTGGTTGGGGATAACCTGTTTGCTGGTATCCTGGATTATACTCAGGATTGGCCCACGCTGGGCTACCAACTGGTTGTGGATTTCCTCCTTGCATAGGAGCAGTATTTATCCCTGGATATGGGGGTGGCATGTCCGTCATGTAAACACTGTTAGCTATTGATATAAAAAAAAATAAAGAAAATTTACATTGGTAAAAATAAAAAAAAAAATAAACGTAAACTACTTTAGAATAAATAATTATTAAAAAAACAAACCCGGAGGCATGTCAGGAAATGCATTGGTGGGAGGCATCCAACCATAGTATCCAGAAGGAGCTGCTTGATAAGCTGGTGGCGGAGCAGCATACCAATTAGATGTTGGTGGCTGATACGGTGGAGGAGCATCGTATCCAGGACCGCTTCGTTGAGCTAAAAAAAAATAATCGTTGTTTTTATAAAGAAAAAAATAAAGATAATCATCGCATTTATTTCAATGTTTATAATTAAATTCTGTACCCATAGAGGCTGCTCTCAACATTGCTTGGCCAAATTCAATAGCACCGCCACTCTTGAAATGTAATTTAAATTTACATTCTCCTACCCAATTACCATTTGGTTGAGCACGGCATTTTCCTTTTATGTAATTAGCTCCAAATAATGGCTGTTCAAGCTCTACCTCACTTAAAGTGACGAAAGGAAAGCTAAAGGATTTCATTTTTTCATTTTGGTCTTTGGCATTAAATATCATCCGGTGCGTTGTCAAATATATTCTTCCCTTTTTTGAACCAATAAACTCTGGTTGTTCTTGTCCATGAAATTCCATTGTGACATTGTCACAAAAAAGAAGAATACTAAAAACAGATGTATACAGTTGTTACAATTTATTGCGCAATCATTTTTATAGATTTAAAAGTTTATGAAAATCAACCTCTTATCTATATTACGGTAGTATTCAATTTTCTAGTAATATTAAATACATTGTAAGTACGTTTGCTTATAGAAGGAAGGTCATTTTCATATACTAACGTATCTACGTCATACTTAGCGATTTAAATAATAAATAATTTTCACTAAAGAATAATTATTATCTTTTTGTATTATATTATATCAGCTTACCATTCTCCAGCATGCAAAAGAACACCATTATTGGCATGTGCAGTGTTTAATGACATTATAAGTTTATTTTTCTCTTTCAACAAAAATAAAATGACACTTTTTGACTGAATCACAACTGTTTGTCAAATACGAGATAAATTACACGATGAGATAACGAAAGTCTACTTCGGTGTTTTTCGGATTTTATTACTATTGTGTCGAGTAAAGTACTCAGAGTAACAAGATAACAATTACAGCTATAAGCACAATTAATGTTTATTATTGTGAGATCCCGAATATTTCATCAGCTGATTCATTCATACAGGCTTGGCCGCAAAACATACTGGAAGCTTTTCCAGATGTTGATTTACTGCTCTGACAACCGAAATTGCTTGCGGTGAACTCGGAAGCTCGATGGTACTTTGTTACGTCGATAACAAAGATCTCGTTTGATGAGGCGCGAATAATTTCATGATTTCAAACAGATAGATGTTGGAGTTTGATAATTTCTTCATTCATCAATAAAAAATAGAACATTTTTCTTAGCGTAGAATATAAAGATAAATTATACGTATATAAATTTGAGTATTTTAAAATCCACTAATATTTTACTCCAAATTTTATAATTTAATAATGAATTATTATTATTTTTCTTCTTTCAGTTTTATGTACGGTCGAATTAGTCTTTGTATATGAGTATATATAAATATTGCTGCGCAAAAAAATTAAAGTAACAGAAAAACAAATAGTTGATAATATAATCCGTAGCGCGCAGTATAAAAAATGTTTTTGAATAAAAAAAAGCTAGATGGCTTTAAATTAGTAATTAATTTTTCATTTATAAAAGACACTTGAAAGCCAAACAATAAAATGTAATTGATAATTAAAACAACTTACGTCATATGATTTGTGAAATATGAAAATTTTGATTTGAATAATTTTATATTATTTATATTAGAGTATAAAGTTGCAACAAAATAATAATAATAATAATAATAATAATAATAATAAAAAGTAAAGAAAAGAAGAAAATGACAAGAGAATGCGTGCGCTGAAATCAATGCGATTTTCAAAGCATGCGCTTGATAAGCGAGTAGAGCTGAAAATACACGTAAAGAGCTTTCCTTAAATATGTATTCAGTGTAATTATACTTATATAAATTAAAAAATGATAAATAAGGCATATTAGTGAAAAGTAGTTTTTAAAAAAGCATGAAGATAGTTTATTAATTTTAAAAATGATAATATGAGCCCCTAAATAAGGTTCATTTAAGAATTACAACTGAAATCATTTTTTAAATAATTTCAATATGGATGAAAATTTAAGTCGTGGTTACGTGCAACTTGGTAAAGCAAGGGGTGTAAATGAATTTAAGTTTGTTAATGGATTAGATCATCTGACACCCCCGGTTGATCGCTATAATTTTGTTTATCTTGCTTTGGTCCTTGCGGGAGCAGGATTTTTATTGCCGTACAACAGGTATTTTGATATGAATTCAAATTATTTTTCGATTCCATCATCAATGTTGATCTCAATAAAATGTTGTTTTGCAGTTTTGTTATTCCGGTGGATTATTTTCAAGCCCGGTATCCAGGCACAACCGTGATTTTTGATATGTCAGTTGTATATATAACCATGGCTTTTTTCGCTGTTTGTGCAAATAACATTCTTGTGGAAACAATATCTCTAAATACAAGAATTGCATTTGGTAATAAAAATAAACGTTTTTGTTATTTTTTGATAAAAGAAGGTTTTTTTATTCTATAGAATAAATTTATATATATATATTTTTTTTTTTTTTTTTTTTCAGGGTACATTGTTTCATTTGTCACTCTGAATTTTGTCGTTATATCAGAAATATGGTGGGAACTTTTTGGAGTGGCTACATCTTATACAATTAATTTAATCGCGGTTGCAGTTGTTTCCATAGGATGCACAGGTGATTTTTTATTATATTTTTCAGTCATTAAATACAAGTAAGTTATATTAACTTAATCAACATTCGAAAAAAATTGATTAAGGACTTTTTTTTTCAAATGGGTAAGTGAATACAAAATTCTTAATCAATTTTTCATTAATGTAATATTTTTTTTTTTTCACTGATAGAGAAAAGATATTTACAAACAGAAAGAACTTTTGGACTCTTACAATTACTTCAATTACAATTTACTAAATTTAGACATAGATGCGATTTTAGTTAATATATATATTAATATATAGATAGATAGATATATAATGAATTTTATTTAACCTTGGAGTTCTAAGCTCCTTCAGGACCATCAGCAGTACATAAAGACAATAGTTTACAAGTATACATACTCGAATATAGAATAATTTAACTTTTTTTTTTTAGTTCAACAATCAAGTTTTTATGGATACACTTCAATGCTACCATCAAGATATACGCAGGCAGTGATGGCAGGTGAAAGTTTAGCCGGTTTTTGGGTGTCAATTAATCGATTAGTTACTAAATTATTAATCAATGATGAACGTGGAAATACATCAATATTCTTCATTTTATCCATAACAACAATTCTCTTGTGCACATTTCTATACCGACTAGTCAGAAAAACAGAATTTGTTCAATTTTACATTCATCTTTGTCAAGAACGCAATAAAATAACACTTGAACCTACTGAAGACATCGGTCTTATGGACCCATTGGAGCAAGTAGATTCAAGTAAAGGGCAATATGGAATATTAAAACTTCAAACAAGTCCTCTAGCCGTAGATTCTGGTGCTGATTCAAATGGAGCCCAATATTCAGCATTTTCTTTCAGCAATCCAGTGTATGAACCAAATGGTCCATCAGGAAATTCTTTAAGCGGTACTGGCCCAAAATATAAAGTTGAAGATGTTGTCGTGATGCGAGGGTTTTCGAGAAATCAAAGTAGCAAGCCTTGGTCAGGCATTAAAAGTAAGTTCTATTTATTATTTTTATTATTTTTAATTAATTAATTAATTAAAACTTTTGTTTTAGGAGGATTGTTAGCAAGACTAGAAGTAGCAAAACTTATTTTTCCTTACATGGCAAGTATTGGTGTAGCTTATTTTGTTACACTTTGTCTTTACCCAGGAATAGTATCAGAAATAATATCTTGTAAATTCGAATCATGGATGCCGGTAATTTTGATGGCAGCATTTAATGGTGCAGATTTGCTTGGAAAAATTTTAGCGTCAATATCGTATGAATGGACACGAACACAACTGGTGTATTTTTCAATCGCTCGTATACTTCTTATACCTCTCTTTCTATTATGTGCGATTCCAAGACATGCACCAATATTATCAAGCGAAATTTATCCACTTCTTTTTTCGTGGTTACTTGGACTTACTAACGGTATCGTTGGTAGTGTCCCGATGATTCAGGCCCCAAGTAAAGTTCCTGAAGAACACCGGGAATTAGCTGGAAATATTATGACCCTATCTTACACCACTGGTCTCACACTTGGATCTTTGTTAGCTTATATATTAGATGCGTTTCTTGGTCATCCTGTTACTACTAAAGAAATTTGTGTAAACTTATTGACCGCCACTGTACCAACAACATTTATAAGTAATAATATAACAACAGATATATTAGCGAGCAGTATCAAACTCACCACTCTTCCAACAATTAAAAATATTAGTAAAATATCAAACATGTTAATGACAACAACTGCTACTAAAATGGCAACACAATTAACGACTTCCTTAATGACAAATAAAACAGCAATACTTTTAGGGAATGCCCTTAACACAACATCAACCACAACAGTACCAATTATTTTTACCAATGTTACATCGACTATTAGTAATGCAATCATTCAACATTAAAATGAAATTACATTGAATTAATTTTATTTATTCATTTTTAATTTGAAATTTTAGTAAATTCGAGAAATCTTAAATTTTGAATGAATCCTCTGATTAATGACTAATAATTTATTATGAGGGATCTAAAACTGTTACAATACAAATATAAAATCATATATTTTACTATGTAAAAAGTGACTGCAATGTCGAAGATAATACAAGATTCGAAGCTTTTAGTCAGCAACGATTCAACGGTTAGAATTTTCAAGTGGATATATGATTCTTTCTTTAATTACTTCCCTACTTAAACGATAATTTAATACCTTAGTTACTCATTTAAAATATGTCATTTTTTATCATCAGCTATTATTTTGACTATACTTTTAGAATTATAAAAAAGTAACACTAGAATTTTACAATAATTATGTATTAAATTGTAAATTTTCCTTCGTCAACATATCATTATCAAGTGAATTTGAAATTGTTACACTTACAGGATCTTTTGTTCAATAGCTTAGATAGAATAAAAATTCATTTTTGGGTAGATTTCATAGAAATCAATCTTTTGCATTGGTCCTCATGTCGGAATTCACTCGGAATTTTGTCGTAATATCACTTAACTAGTCGAGTGAAGCTCAAAAATAACGTTAGTTAAAAAATTTATATATGTATGTATATATAATATGTAATATAACGCGGGGTGTTGCCGCGATTGTGTCTACAGTTCTTGTCGGATCTAGATGAAATTTGTTACACATATTTTTTGGATAATAACCTTGAATGAGTTCGAAGATGAGCAAAATCCATCCATAAGTTTAGACATGGCAGCTCTTCAAAATTATCAAAATAGTGAAAATCACGTTTTTGGTGACTTCATTGATGTGTAACTTTTGGTTGAAAAGAGGAGATGGCTAATTTTTGATAAATTCATGTAAAAGCTCATGAAATTACCTTTAATTTGACGTATATAACATTGACATTTTGACCATTTTTAGTTATTTTATCAAGGTTAAGAGTTTGACTGAACCATTTTCAGGCAATGTGTAGTGCAGGCGACTTATGAATGTTATTCTGTCGAGAATTCGTAACAGATCCCAATGAAATTTAGTATACAAATTCATTTGACAATTAGCTTGCATGAGCCTTAAAATGAGCGAAATCCTTCGATTAGTTCAGAAATAGTAGCTCTTCAAAATGATCAAAATAGTAGAAATTACGTTTTCGGTGACTTCATTTATGTATAACTTTTAATAGCAAAAAAAAGCTTATTTTTGATAAATTTACTCGAAAACTCATAAAAACACCTCTTATTTGACGTATATAATGTTAATTTTTTGACCATTATTAGTTATTTTATCGAAGTTAAGAGTTCAATTGAACCATTTTCAGGCAATGTGTAATACAACCTATCCATGTTAAACAAAAGTTATTGAGACAAGACGATAAGTCATTCTATGAAATCTACCTTCCATTTCGGGTATGACCGAATGGCGTCTATTAATTTTTTTATCCTATTCACCCCCACTTCAGTGGTCCTCTCGTCTCCTACTGGTTTATTGCGTCTGTGAACCGGCTTGTGCTTTTTGTACTGCATTTGCCCTATTCCGCACCTCTTCCTAGGCTCTTGGAATAGTGACATAGGGAAACCGCAGAGAAGAACCCATGCCAGTACAATCGGAGCATAGCTAAGCTCACGGTAATAGATAAGAATACTCTTCTTTTATCGATTACCGGAACATTAGTCCCCTCTCCTACCGCACGGAGACCTACGCGCTAGTCAGCGCTGACTAAGCGGTCACCCATCCAAGTACTAACCGCAGTCAATGCTGCTTAGCTTGGGTGATCGCCAAAGTCAGACGCGTGCCGCATGGCTGCCTCTGCCGCTTAATTCAACTAATTGTAAATTCCCGAAATTAATATCCACGTTTGTTAAATTAATTTCTACGGAATTTTTCCAAGGTGATGAAATTAAAATCATTAAAAGTATATTTTCCAGGACTTAATTTCAATATAAAAATTAACCGCGTGGAATTTTTCGACTAGATAAATAATTAACGGATAATTTATCAATATAAAATAAATTACGAAAAATTATCCACGGGTACTTCAATCTTGATTTGCGCGGTAATTTCAATAAATAATTTCCCAATAATAAAATAGTTTCCAGTAAATAATACACTAGTCACAAAAATTAAGGGATATAAAAAAAATTCCAAATTTTTGGGTGATTTTCAACAAGCTGTAACTCCGAGGAAAATGGTCGTACAGAAAAAATTAGAAAAAGCAAATTGTAGCTCCAAGTGTCTAGTTTTCAGATATGACCATGAAAAATTTTTGTCATGTCCAGTGTTTTGTCGAAAACTATCCAACGCGGATAGTTCCCGTAATTGTTTTAAATAAGGTGATGAAGTTTGGATCAGGATGTTAAATAAAAATACTTGGATTTTTTGGGGAACAATTTAGATCGTTTATTTGTCCCCAAAGGAGGAAAACCCAGCTAGGCTGGGAAAAACCTCCTTGATGAAAATTTATACAAGTAAATTGTATGTGTGTAAGTGTGTATGTGTAAATTACGTTGCAATAACGCAATAGGGGTGAGCTCAGCCGCCGTATAAAGATAATATTATCGATAATATTAGTTTGTACTGTCCCAAGGTGGGAGCTAGTAATATCTAATTAATTAGATGAACTGTCTCAAGGCGAGAGCTAATAATGTTCAATTAATTAGATGAATTGTCTCAAGGTGAGAGCTACTAATGTTTAATTAGTTAAATGGATTGTCTCAAGGTGAGAGCTACTAATGTTTAATTAGTTCAATGAATTGTCTCAGTGTGAGAGCTTATAAGCTTCGATTAATAACAGAATGTTAGTTAATTGAATTTATATTTTCGTGTAGAAATTAGTCAAATTAATTTAAATTTAGAACTGAAATATTGATAATTATGATTAAGTAAATTGTAATTAAATATTGGTAATGAATTTAATCTAATTTAATGTTAATATCGCGTGTTAATTATAGATTGACTAAAGCCGCGTGGCTGATGCAATCCTTTGTTAATGTGGCGCGCAATGGCCGCGTGGCGTCACTAATTAAATCTACTTTGATTTTATTTATTTTAATTCACTGAACTAATAAACTGATTTGAATGATTTGACAATGTAATTGCTATTGAAGCTGAAGTAATTATTTATGTTTTAATGAATAATTTAAGTATCTGAATAAATGTAAGATGCAAGTAAGAAATATTAGAATCGATTGACAGAGAGTAGTCGTACTAGTACAAGAGTCCAAGCACAACTGTTGCTGCAGACCACGCGAGCCGGCTTCTCTACCTCTAACCCAGGCACGCATGAGCGACGGCCATAGCGTGATACGAGTATTCCCGAGTTATAGCGATTATTCCCGAGTTTTAACGATTAAGCCCGAAGGCGCAATTCTTCTTATTATTTGACTAGATCTTTTTTCTAGCGGTTAAACATCCAGGTCTGGAGAAATCCTAAGAAAACTACCGAAAAAAAATTTTTCCAAATTTTTTCCCATCTAAAAAAAGGTCCACGGGGTTCAAAAAAATTGTTTTGATTGTTTCGTTCAAAAGCTCTTCTAGAGAATTTAATACTCTTTAACTGGGTGTATTCAAAAAGCCTGTACGACGATTTGCCGCGGAGTTATCGTCAATCAAAGCAAAAAAGTTTTTTTTTGACTTTGATATTCAATAACTCGGAAATAATAATCGTACAGGAAATCGAAGGAGGATTTTGAAAACTGCACGATATTCTCTATAAGAAAATGTAAACATCTTTTAGAAGAAAAATTTTTTTTGAATTAAAAACTCGGACTAAAAAAAAGACAAATATTCGCATAATTAAGGATATTTCGATAACTTGGTATAACTTTGGATAACATGGATGAACGAAAGATATCGTCGGTAATTTGTTTACCTCAAAGTGTCCCCTAAAATCCCTCGAATATTCAAAGCGCTGCGATTTTTTTTTCATTGTCCCCCGAAGCTTCAAATTCTTCGTTTTTGCAAAAATCACCTTTTTGAGCAATTTTGAGATTTTTATTCATTTTTTCAATGAAAAAAATTTTTTTCTGTCTAAAATCTTTATTTTTTCGATTAAAGAGATTGATTTTTTTTAAACTTGAAAAAAAAAAAATTTTCAATTTTTTTTCGAAATTTTCTCGATTTTTTTCGACTGCTGTTTTACCACCGGTATGAGCGTTTCCCAAAGCGTACCACGTGGAAGTTGCTCGGTCGGCTTAAGCTTCTGTGTGTGTGTGTGTGAGTGTGTGAGCGTGTGTGTGTATGTATGTGCGTGCGTGTGTGTGTGTGTGTGTGAGTTTTTTTTTGTAAAGAGGTACGAAAAAAGATCTTCAAAAGACACCGCTATCGTTAACTCTGCCGCCCATTTTACGGCAGATATCGATAGTCGGTGGTGTGGAGATTTTTACCCACTAAAAAAAACATTCCTCTTCCCCTCTCCCTTAGATGGTACGGGGAGGACTGGATTGGAACCGCGTTAGCATTACTTCAATCCAGTCGTGCTGCGTCTCACGACGCCTACTCCTGGCTACTGGTCCCTTTCTGCGATTTTGTCTTTCAGGAGGTGATGTGCATAAGCTGCAACAGCTGACCAGTTTTCCTTTTGTTTGATCATATAGGTCACCAGACTTGAGGGGGAGAGCCTGGTGCCTATTGTTTCTTCGGTGCTGGTTCTGTCGTCCTTCCACTGATCACACTCGAAAAACGTGTGTTCGGCGTTGTCAATTTTGTCTGGGCAGTATTTGCACGTTCGCGTGCTGTGCAAACCCATCTTGAAAAGATAGGCATTGAACTGCCCATGTCCCGTCAATAGTTGGGTCAGGAAGAAGTCCGTATCCCCGTGCTTCCACTAATCCCTTCGTTAGGTGAGAGATAGACGCTCATGAAGTAGGTTATGGGGGTTTGAATCCAGACAAAACCTGCTCCACTTCCGTTGTTGATGGTGGTAACGTTCTTTATGTTTACAATCCAGATTGCCGCCGTACAAGTTTTGTCTGCGAACCATGCTCTATCTTGGAGGTTTAGATATTGGTCACAGATTAAGCAAACGTCGATCCTCTCTTCAAAGACTCGCTGGCAAAGTAAATTTTGCGCCAACGCACATCTATTCAGGTTTCCTTGAAGTATGCATGTCATTTCTGCCCTTTGGTAGCTTCGGCAAGTGCGGTGCGGAATACCTTACAAGCCCCGGAGCCTGGAATATGACATAAGCTATCTGGAGCTTCTTGTTCTGGTGTACAGAGGAAGCACTTTGGCTGTTCAACGCAGTCTACAGCTTTGTGGTTTCCTCTCCTGCATTTAAAGCAGCACGTGCTTCTGTCAGGCCCCTTGCAGGAGTTCGTCGCATGCCCGTATCCGAGGCATTTGATACAGCGTGTTACTTTTACAACTGGTCGAATGCGGCAATTAACCCATCCGATGATTATACGAGCCTTGTCAAGGATTTTGAACGCGCTAGCCTCGTCTATCTCGCAGAAGGCTGGCCGGTTGCCCCGTCGAGTAGGCTTTGTCAAATTTACCCGTTTGATCTCCAGGTTGTCGGTGAAGTCACGTTTAAGTGCTTCGCGGACGTCGTTCTCAGTAGTGATGGCATCCAAGTCCAGGATCTCGATCGTTGTTTTTGGTGTAAGCGTTCTGACTGTACCGATGTTAGCAGTTGCTGTTTTTATCGCAGCCGTGAAAGCGGTAGTGTCTTCAGTCTTGCAACCCATTTCTAGAAGAACGCCCCCTCGCTTCGTTTGTTTGATAGACTTTATTTCTACTCCAGTCTCTGTCGGATTAATCTTGGCTTTAATTTCCTTGAGGAGATCGGCGTATGTTCGCCCTTCAGCTGGTTGGACAAGCACATCTTTAGTTTTTGTCTTCTTCCTCCTCGGTTTCTTGGAGCCAACATTGATTGGCTGGTTTTGGGCTGTAGCAGATTGAGCCACTGGCTCCTGTTCTTCCTTTTTCTTGATCTTCCTAGTCACTTTGGTCCAGGTATCACCCCGGGCTGTCTTCTTCTGTGCTGGCTTGTCGATTTCTGAGGGAGGGCTGGGCATGGATAGCGGCCTCTTCTTGTTGTTCTCTTCTCTATGCTGTGTTTTCTCAGGAGTGACCGAAAAGGTCTGGGATTTTTTGTTCAGATCTGGAGATGTTTGCGTGGTTCTCGCCGACTTCGTTGCTGGTTTGTTGGCCAACTTATATGCCGTGGCAATGGAGGCTACTATTTTTCTGAGTTCATGATGAAGATATCGTTTATCCTTTATGAACTCAGCCAATTCTTCGATCTTGCTACCGAGCCGTTCCATTGGCGATTGTTGACCAGTGACAGTCGGTAGAGAGTTGATCCTCCCTTGGCATGTGTGAGTGTTGACGGGAGCAACAGGTCTTCCACCTATTAGAGGAAAGTTTGTTTGCTGTACGTCTACTCCCATCAGAGATGTTTCTTTACTCCCTGTAGCATTGCTAGCATTGCTAGACAGCAGAGCCATGGGGTCTACTCCACTGTTCAAACGGTCACTTGATATCGACGAGTTCAAGCCCGTTTGTACGCCTTCCCTCGCTGGCACTGAGGTATCCCTCCTCTGCACCGTAGACGATGTTTGAAATTGTTCTGAAATTTTCATATAGTTGTTTTTGTTGTTCATTTCGCACTACCTAGAGAGCACGTGTAGGGTGTAAAAGCAGAACCTACGGACGCAAACAACTCTACCCTCCACGCGTGTGTGTGTGTGTGTGTGTGTGTGTGTGTGTGTGTGTGTGTGTGTGTGTGTGTGTGTGTATGTGTATGTGTATGTGTGTGTGTGTTTTTTTTTTCTTCTCATAGGGGGGGGGGGAATCCTTTTTGCGGATTCTAGGCATAGCTGTTTGGCCTGGATATGTGGCGACTCGACGCAGTGTCATACTAAAACTCGACGCTGACGCCCCTACCCACTAAACCCTAAACCCCTTTCTCTTCTATCCTCTGATTCCCCATGGTACCGCCGTACGGCATTTCTTCGCGGGGGGAGGAATTAGCTGCCACTCTATTAGCTGCCGCTTTTCCTTTTGGTGGCTAAGATATTATTTCTTCCTTCTAGATTCGGTCTTTTGCTCTTTTTCTCTCAATGGATCGCAACTCGGTAAGCACTTTTGTAGCAAAAATGCTTGTGGCGTTCCAGGCAGCTTCTGACGACAGCATTGCCTCTACTATTGACTCTGGTTGGGTTCTCTTCTTCAGAATCTTCTCTAACTCATTGCGCTGTTGGTTGAAACGTGGACACACAAAGAAGACATGCTCCGCATCATCATTGACCCCTGGACAGGACGGGCACTCTGGGGTATCATCGTGCTTAAAGCAATGGAGATACTTCCGGTAACATCCGTGTCCTGATAACATCTGCGTTTAATAATAGTTGATCTCACCGTGACTCCGGTTGAACCACATATCAACCCGAGGTATAAGACGGTACGTCCACCGACCCTTATCTGATGCATACCACTCTTGTTGTCATTTTGCGATGCTGTGTTGTCGTTCTTCGCTTCTAAGTTCTTCAGGGCTCAGTGTGATTGTTTTGGTGGGTGGTCTGAACCTTTTTTGTTGATATAGGTTCCGTCTTTCCTCAGCTAGGACTCTGAGAGGCAGAGTACCCGAAATAACACACACTGTTTCCTCTGATATTGTGTGAAAGGCGCTAGCTACTCGTAGGGCACTCAGTCGGTATGCTGGTCCAGCCTTTCTCCATGATTCTTGCGTCTTTAATGCGTCAGCCCAAATGGATATTCCGTAAATGAACACCGATGTGACTACTGATGACCGATTCAGACCGTCCTTTGTGTCATACTTTAAGACCCTATTTTCAAAGTAGCTTGTTACGATCTTAAGAAGATATTCTGGTACATTCTTCTCTTGGAGGCCCTGCATGATGCATTCCCAATTGGCGGAGTTGAATGCGTTTCTGATGTCTAGGGTCGCCACCAGGCAGTACTCTTTCGTTCCACCCTTCCATCTGGTTCCTGTGATTGCTTCCTTGGCCGTATCAACAACCAGTTTGATTGCGTCCAGGGTTGATTGTCCTTTCCGGAATCCATACTGATTGTCTGCAAGGAGTGGGTCGACTACTACTTTCATTCTCTGGTGAATTATGCGTTGAAATATCTTACCCGCTGTTGTGTTGCTGTGGGAACAGTGCAGTGACGATTTTCTGGAGAAGTTGAAGACACGTAGGTGATGGCATTTGTTGTTTTTTTAGGTGGGTCATAACCACCTTATAAGGCCTTCCCCAAATGTCTTTATCCACCTCGTTGATGAGCTCTTTCCAGCATTGTCTCTTACTATCCTTGATGGCTTTGTTCCACGATCGACGGGCTTTTTTGTATTCTGCGACCAGCTCCGCAGAGTTAGGTCGTCGATAGCCACGCTGGGATATTCTTCTTTTCTTTGGACACTCTTTCCGAAGAACACTAATGTGGTCGTTCCACCAGTGTACTGCCGGGCGTTGGCTTATGCTGTGTTTCCGGACCATACTGGCGTCACAGGCCTGGACAACTCTTTTCATCAGGTCTTTGGTCATTTCTTCTGCGGATCCAGTAGTAATCGGTTCACTATTAAGGGCTATTACCAATGTGCTTGTGTCAAAAGACTTCACTTTCCATCCAATGGTATTGAGTGACTTGATTGGTCTTCTTGTATTCCGGTCATGGGATATTTTCCAGAGAATTGCCTTGTGATCACTGGCTGTGTAGATATCCATCACCTTCCAGTCGTATTTCCCACTGATGAGGCTGCTGCTGACGTGAAGTGAAATCTACGATAGAGCTTGCTTCTCCTTTAGTATAGGTTGGCAAATCACCACTGTTGAGCTGGACTACATTTAGTGTAGAAAAAGCTTCTAGAAGTGCTTTTCCTCGCGCATTTGTCTGCTTGCTGCCCCAGTCTACTGCCCAGGAGTTGAAGTCACCGGCAATCGGGACTGGATAATGCTGCTTGGCGTCCTCGGTCAGTTTTTCCAAGAATTCAGTTAATTCAATAATGGATAGGCTAGGTGGTGCATAATACCTGTAGAAACGGATGCCGTTAACTGTTGCTGCTACAAAGCCGTTATTATCATTGTTAACTACACTCTGGAAGGGATGCTTACCACAAGACCAGATGACAGCCTTGGCGGTGCTGTCAGATTCCCAAGGCTGCGTATTCAGGTGTCTGTATGGCTCTGCTATCATTACTAAGTCTAACTCTAGTTCTCTTGCTGTTTGCATAAGCAGATCATGTGCAGCTTCTCAATGGTTTAGGTTTAGCTGCAATATTTTCATGTCTGTTTGTTTGTTATCTTCTGGAGTGCCTCTTTAAATACTGGGCACCTGGATGCGCCGGCAAGATGAACCGAATTCTCCGCACTTTAATCCACGCATAATACACATTTCGCTGGGTTTTTTTTCAGCAATCTTGTGTCCTTCTTGTCCGCACCTAATACATAGCTTGGACCGATCCACATTGCTCTTGCACTGGGGTCCAAGGTGTCCAAAGTGCCAGCACTTGAAACATTGGATTGGTCTCCTCGTAGCTCTGATTCGGCAGTTGGCCCAGCCGATCCGGACTTTACCGCTTCCTGTCATTCTTCCGCGCTGCAGCCGCTGGTAGTGTCACAACAGCTGTCTGAGTACCTCTGTAGGCCTTATGAATCTTAATTGTTCCTAGTGGTATCTCGCAGGTTTCTCCGATTTCCGTTTGCAAGGCAGACTGAATATCCTCCTTGGTTGTGGTACCGTCAAGATCTCGGATTTCGACGTCTTCCTGTGATCCTTTGCAGATTACCTTCGCGTCATCTTGGAGGATGTCCGCGATGGTCTTCTGTAAGGCTTGGCCTCGGTCAGTGTTCTTCCGCGTAAGCGTAATCAGCAAGCTCCCGGTCCTAGTTCTTTGGATCTTATTCACTGTAGTACGGACCTGTTCGTCAGGGACGTCCTGCTTTATTCGCTTCAGAATTTCAGCATACTTTGCCGTCTCTGCGGGGCGGATGATCAGTGCGTCCGGCCTGATCCGTTTGCGCGGTTTTTTCCGATTAGGCTCTAGCCTGGACTCCTTCGGTGGTTGCTTCTGGAGCTTTTCTTTTGCTTGCTCTCTTGGACTTCCTTGACTGGACTTTTTGCCATTCATTCACCTCCTTTTTTCCGCCGTTCTGTGTTACGCCCGAGAGGGTAAATGCTATCGGTTATAGGTGTTACCAGCTCTTATAGCTTAAATTAAATTGATCAGGACAGAATCGACGAGCCTCAGATAGGTGACGCACCCACGTTCGGTGGTCACCAAACTCTTTCGACCGTTCGACGGAGCGCCAGAATAGCCAACCGCGTTTCTCCAATCGAGCTGCTATCTGACGTTCCCGTTCATCACCGGCACGCGGCTTCGGGATCGCGGTCGTGTCCGGGTAAGTTCGCAAAAGTAACGCGAAAACAGCTAACGCCTCTAGCTACGCGACCGTGTCTAGTGAAACTCACGCGATTAAATTTAGAAGAGGCAAAAACAAGTAGTAGGGGGGATTCCAAATCTTGCACGCGAAGCATCAACCGGCGAAGATGCACAGGGACGACTAGAAACACCCTCAGAGGGCCCGCGAATTCGGCAAACTTAGATGGGCTCGCGCCGGGCGTTAGGTCAAATCAGAAGTCTCCACACGCGACCCGGGGAGTGGGGGTTGAAGGTTTTCGGGTTTTGCAGGCGAATTTGAGGAACGACAGAGCTGGGACTCTGGAGGCAAGTCAGTTGTGGGAGGAAAAACGTATTGATGTTCTCCTCTTGCAAGAGCCATACGCAGCGTACAGTAATAATAGTTTCAAGATACCTGGGTTCGGTTGCGGCATACAAGTTGCTGCCGAAACCAGGTCCAGGCCATATGCGGCTATTTGCTTAACAAATCCTAAGTACCAATTACTGGTTCTTTCACAGCTTAGTACAACTCACTGCGTATGCGCTCAGATCGTGGGACCTGACACAACGTTCTTCGTAGTCTCATCATATTTCCAGTATAAAGACGAAATAGATATACATTTGGAACATTTAGAAAGGGTGGTCCGAGCACTGAAAGGGAAACGGGTTATAGTATCAATGGACGCGAACGCGAAATCCGAGAGATGGGGATCCGAGACTGACGACGCGCGTGGCGAAAAGTTAGAGCAGTTTGTTGACGCACATGAGTTAGAGATAGTCAACAACGCGAGGGAGGGTCCGACATTCGAATCAACAAACGGGAGTTCGTACATCGATGTGACACTCGTCACGCCTAAAATCGCGAGTAGCATTCTTAGCTGGTCCATTTAGAGGAGCTGGGTGCAGAATACTGACCACTACCCGATCGAAATCACTCTAGGGGCTAAATCGGGGAGGAGGATGGCGTACAGGCGGACCCCAAAAGGTTTGACTTAACGTTGGCCAATTGGGAAAAGTTTGACGAAATCCTCTTCTCGTGTGCATGCACAAACCTTGAAGGCCTTGGAGTGGAATCGATCGAGGACGTGGAAAGGTATGCCTCTGCGCTTGGCAAATCAATTTTAGAAGCTTGCGAAGCCGCGATACCACGTAGAAAAACCCATATAAAATCATACCCATGGTGGACCAGAAAACTAACACGCGCGAAGAAGCTGGTGAATAAAGCTAGGCGGGTATACCAAAGGGAAAGGGACGAACTAGTTAAAATACCTTAAGCGTCAAATACAGAACACTACGGAAACAGTACTCGACAGACATAAAGCGAACGAGAGAAAGCAGCTGGCGGGACTTCGTTACAAAGAAAGGGAATCAAGAGAAGTGGGGTCCTGTCTACAGGATCTGCGCTGAAAAAGTTAGAGTCAAAAGTGCAATGTGCACACTAAGCCATAACGGAGTATCCACGGAAAACTTTAAGGAAACAGCCAAGTGCTTTCTCGAAACGCATATTGTAGACGATGACCAAGACAATGAAACCCTCGACCAGGAAAAGATTAGAGCCAATACAATTTTACCACCTGACACCGCGGACGCCGAACCGTTTACCCCGTGCGAACTGGACACAGCCCTAAAGACACTAAAGAACAAGAAGGCCCCGGGGCCGGATTTGATAGAGAACGAGGTAGTTAAACGCGCAGGGGTTATTCTTCGCGATCAGTTTTTAGAGTTGTATAATGCCTGCTTGGCACAAGGAGTATTCCCAACAGAGTGGAAGAAGGGGGCAATAATAATGTTAGTTAAAAGCACCGACAAAAACGCAAATGACCCTAAATCTTAGCAGAAGGAAACATTTCGAGCCGACAGTTTAGCTTCACAGCCAAAAAGTCGACGGAAGATGCAATTGTAGAGATGCGCCGATTTGTAGACTCTTCGGAGAAGAGACTGGTGGTCGGACCTCTCTTCGATATCTCCGGCGCTTTTGACAACGTGTGGTGGCCGTTAGTACTCGAAGGTCTCAAGGCCAGAGACTGCCCTAGAAACATATACGAGGTTATTAGGAATTATTTTGAGGACAGATCGGTCGCGCTGTCATAGGGATTTGGTAGCGAGTCAAAAACACCGACGCGAGGGTGCCCACAAGGATCAGTGGTGGGGCCATTATTTTGGAACATTATGTTCGACGCTCTCCTTCAGAGACTCGAGCAGTCGGAACACGGGAATAAATTTGTTGCGTTTGCTGACGATTTGCACGTCATTGTAGAAGGATCTTCAAGAGAAGAACTAGAGCATAAAGGTCAAATAGTAGTAGATATGATACTGGAATGGTGTAGCTCCGCAAAGCTCGAACTGTCAAAGTCGAAGACTGAAGCCATCTTCCTCAAGAATAAGCTTGTATATCGCGGTCCACGCAAGGACAAAAAGAGCCCGCACCCCTGTAAGGCAAAAGGAAAACAGAGAAAGCCCAAGTACGATAAACCGCCAAAAATTATGATACGGGACTCTAAAGTTAAATTCAAATCAAGCGTTAGATACTTAGGGGTGCACTTCGACGTGGGTCTTAAAGTTAAAAGTCACATTAAAACAAGGCGCGCGAAACTGAGTAGGGTATTTGGGCGTATGCGGCGTATTGCGCGAGCGGAATGGGGATTGTGATACCCAGCTATGTCCACCATATACAAGGGTTTCTTTATGCCTATCGGCACATATGCGGTGGCGGCTTGGAGTGACCGTTGCGATAGGGAGGACTGGAGACATCTTCGAGCACTACAGCGTCAAGCGCTTATAACAACAACTACTGCCTACAGGACAGTGTCGCTTGACGGGATTTGCGTAGTCGCGGGTGCAATACCCATTCGGCTGGTAATAGACGAACGGTGCGCTCGATACAGCCTTCGCATCGGCAAACAGGCAACCCTTGGAAACGTCACCGTGCAGCCAGATGCGGAGGATCGCCTTGGAACCCTTAGAGTTGAAACCATACGTCGGTGGCAAGAACAGTGGGACACATCAGAGAACGGTCGCCAAACTAGAGTCTTTTTCCCAGACGTAGCAGAACGTCTGGCAAACAAATAGATCAGTCCAAACTTTTGGCTGACCCAAATCCTAACCGGTCACAGTTGTTTCAGAGAATATCAATTTAAGTACGAACACACGGAGAGTAGATTCTGCGACGAGTGTAGAGAGAAGGAAAAAGGAGAAAGGGTCGACAACGTGGAGCACTTAATGCTCGAATGCCTTGAGTACGAGCCTCAACACGAGCCTCAACACATATGGGGTGGGAACGCGGAGTGGGCGAGCGTTGCGCGTGCGATTGCCACATCCCAAAGTAACTTCAAGCTCTTAAAAGGTTTCAGTAAAGTAGTAGTATGTTGCAAACTCCAGACCCAATTAGCTAATGAAAGCGCGATCAGGGACGAAACTCAAGCATCCACCTAGGTAGTGTCGGAGCGCCTAGGCATAAGCGATATGCTCCACACAATTGTGAGGATAGTATAGAGCTTTGGATGACTGCCGTAGAATAAGATAGGGAAATAAAAACTACACAAGTGCCCGGGCACCCCAACACACGCAAACACTTACACGTAAAATCATTTAACACACAACACACTACACATACAACATGGTCTTCTATCGACTCCGCCTCCCCGTGGTCCCCGCTGGATACTGCTCATATTCTGTGGGTATATTTCGATGTGCCCACAGGGAATGGGTTGCCAGAGAAGTCGATGAGAGTTGCACACATTTACAATAACACGCAACTCTTAATGCTGCTCAATGAATGTGTGCAAATACAAAAGAGCAGCGGTTTTTCCTTGTCAGCGATCTTGGCTGTGTTTTGGTTATGGTGAGGGTAGGACAAATATACGTGCGTGTATAGCTCTTTTGAGCCCAGGAAACGGCCTCTTCGGAGGTAGGCGAAAGCCTCACCATATATTCTTCTGTGTTACTGCGTTTTTCGGAGGACTTGGTTTAAGGTCCTTCTTCTTTTTAGTACGGCTGGTCATTGAGTCTGGGGAATTTCGTTACTTCCTTTTCCCGGGCCTGATATCAGTTCCAGTTTCCTCTCCGTCTTCGACAACTGACTCGACGTCACCCTCGCCACCTGTGTCCGTCTCCTCGACAAACGTGTCGGCTTTTGCAGGTGAAACCGCTGTCACACTCGTCTTCATCACGATATTACCGTGTTATTGTTGGATCTCCTGCCATTCTTAGTCCAGTTTTTTTAACCTTCTCAGAGCACTGCAGATGTTCGTCGACTTCGACTTGATCTCCTTGTGGACATTTTGCTTGGTTTGGAGAAAGTCCTTCTGTCCACTAACTAGCTTCTCCAGATGTGCCAGCGCATCTGTTCTCTTCATCTTTGCACTAAGTAGCAGTACGTCTTGCTGGGCATGAGGCCCGTTTTCACTCTTGTTTGTTTCCTGTGCATTACTCATACTTTTTAATTTACCAGCGCATCGTACGGAGTGGAGCGGGTTGCCATAACTAGGAACGGGTGTACCCTCGGAGATAGTACTCCTACCCCAGTTCCCTGAGGCCTAGCCGACACTTAGCCAGTCCCGGAATACACGGACGGACTAGACTCGCTCGGAGCGGTGAAGATTCCGATCTCTAACACTCACTGCGTACTTCCTGATCAAGGCCCGAAGTGGCTGGCTCCTGATCCACTGCTGCAACTTACACCTCAGCGGAGCAAGCTCACATCAGCCGTGGCCCCTGCATCGTCGGCTTCGTTCGAGAGATAGCCTGAACGAAAGGAAACCGAAAAAAGTGTTTTCTTGACATTTCTTCGTCATTTATTCTCGGATCGTTTTTGATGATATAGAATAATTTCAGAGCTTAAAAAACCGCGTCGAATGCCGCCAAAAACGTGGAAATCGGTTGATTAGTTCGAGAGATATCCTCGACGAAATATTTGGAAATAAGGATTTTTTCAACATAACTCCGACATTTTTTGGAATAACTTTCAAATAGCTTAACCGATCGATTCCAAAAACTAATCAGCTCTTAACATTAAAAAACCACGTTGATTGCCACCAAGCTGATCAAAATCGGGTGATTCGTTCGAGAGATATCGTGAACCAAAGAAAACCGAAAAAAGTGTTTTTTCGAGATTACTCCGAAATTTTGCGGTTCGATCAATTAAAACCTGAAAATAACTTATGAGGATGATGAAACTGCATCGAATGGCGCCAACCGCGTGAAAATTGGTTGATCCTTTCAAAAGTTATTGCGGTTTGAAAATTCCAAAAATAGTGTTCTATGAAACTTCTATCAGACTTTTGAGCTGGGAGAGCTCAAATGCATAGAAATATTATTTCTTTGAACTCAGCGAGCTCAAAATATCGAATAAATTATATTTTGAGCTTAAAAATCTCAAAAATGCCATAAGTACAATTTTAAGCGCCTAGGAATGGAATTAGCGAGGGTGGATTCTTGGTACCCTGGCTTTCTAAAAGTCGTGGTGCTCCCAATATTCAGCACTATGAGGTCGAGTCTAGCCGCGACGTCAGCGACTTCGTTACCTCTGGTGTCGGAGAAAGCAGCATCCCATTCAGCCGATTTAGCATTGAAGTCACCAGCTGCGATGACTTCGCCATCGAACTTAGTGATCACATCCTCTATATATGCCAGTATCTGTCGGAACACACTAATCCCTTCGTTAGGTGAGAGATAGACGCTCATGAAATAGGTTGTGGGGGTTTCAATCCAGACAAAACCTGCTCCACTTCCGCTGTTGTTGACGATAACGTTCTTTGTGTTCACAATCCAAATTGCTGCCATGCCAGTTTCGTCTGAGAACCATGTTTTATCTTCGATGTTTAGATATTGCTCGTAGATAAAGCAGACGTCGATTTTATCTTCAGAGACACGCTGGCGCAGCAGGTTTTGCG